CCTTTTATATTTTTGAAAATATCAAAGCTTTTATCGAAATCTTTTGCTAATTTAGACCGATCAGAAAATTCTTTATACATGACATATTTTAAGCAACGAAGGAAGGGGCGGACGACGATTATCGAATGAAGATTTCATGACCGAAACGGACTATGGTTATGCTGTTTCACTTGAGTAGCCTTGCATGGCTCGCTCTAAAATTCCAGTACAAGCAGGACTAGCCTCAGGAAGTTCCACTGCTGCGCTGCGTGCGTCGGGGTAGCCTGTGTACATCCGTGAAACGGATGTACACAGGCTAGTTTCTAAACTGGTTCAAACACACAGGCTCGGGTTCATCTCGCCCTAGTGTGTGAACCTTTAGATACCAAACAGGAAGCCAAGCACTAGGTGTTCGAAGTTGGCTTGTAGGGACTAAAAGACAAGGAACAAGGACATTTCCTTGCTTCTTATTAAATTGATCAATTAGAATATTTTTCAATTCCTAGCCTACTTCCAGTTCATGTTGTAGGCATGTATCATGACCGTCAATATTATCAAATTTTTGCATTCTCTTTAATAAACTCTTTTGATTTTCTGTGAATTTTACGAGGAATGTTGTATTTTGTACTGGCCAGCTGGCGTTTATGCAGATGCATTAATGCTCCAATCTCAATCAATTTTACACATAATAGCTTTAGGCTAAATGGCGCGTGAAATTTATCATGTCTTTTTTGCACACAGAGTTTTTGTAATCACTGAATAAAAGAATTTATCACAAACTCGACGTCTAGGCTTCGCAAACAAACAATAATGGTATATTTCAGATGGACAACCATTTCAAGATAGGATTAATAGCATTGTGTGTGGGATTTGCATGCAAGATGGGCAACTTTAAAGATTTTTTAAAGGTTTTTGTTCAGTTGAAAAACTTAATTTTTGGCCATGAAAAACAATTATTGTATCACCAACGTCTCAAACGCTCTACAGAAAACAGGTGTCATGCTGTTCAATATGATGAACGGCCATCATTATTGAATTTACTTCTCTTTTTTTTCATTTGACTTCATTCACCTATTGAAAATCACCCTTAAATTGTCAACGGCNGAACAAAAGGGTGTGTTTTATCGGGTGATAAAGATCCGAGCCGAAGAACATCCAGTAATCGTTATCTTTTTGGAAAAAAAGTAAAAAATGCGAAAACAGTGATAATGCATATTAAACTTCGACTGAGCATGCGCATTTGCCACAATTGAAAGAATTTTGATCCCACATGTAAGAACGGCTAGTCTATGCTATACTACATGTCTGCACATTGATTTAAACTGATTTAAAACCTAGCAAAGGTCTATGAAAAAAGTGCAAAAACAGCCCCCACTAAAAAAAGGAAACCCAGTAGCTTGAAGCTGCTTGAATTAGAAACCAGTCACGCCCCAATTCTATTGTTTTATGTAGTTTTTGAAACTCGAGAAAAGACCTGCATTCTAAAAGACGGGGGCGGCTTTAATTATCAGCAGGGGAGTTCGGGGCTGAATTCAAAACCTGGGACAGGTCTTACATTTCATATCAAAACCTTTCCCGGGTTTTAAATTTTCCTTTTCAGAAACGAGTAGAGGACTGGGGACGAGTTTCACAGTTTCGCATTCTTTGTATAAAGGAGAACTGAATTGAAACATTTGAAAAATCAAGAACAAAGTCATGGTCGGTAGGGAGAATCGTCCCTACTTTTCTTCATAAACATAAACATTTTCAAATTTCTACAGTTCAGCTCTCCTTTATAAAAAGCATGTCAAACTCGATAAACTTACTAATTTTGCTGTTTTTCTTATCCCGATAAAGTTTATTTTAAGTGGAACAATTTTTGAAACTCGTCCCCAGTCCTCTACTCTTTTCTAAAAAGACAAATTGAACAAAGTAAAACAAAAGCAAGCAAGAAAATATTCAATTCTCGCTTCGTCACGGCGCCATATTTAGCAAAGTTTTCGATATAAAGAAAAGGATGTTTCGTTATCAATTCTTATATTTCGCTCGCTACACCAGTCTTCGAACATCTTTTATGGCCCACGCATCTTTATATAAAGTCGATTTTGGAATCTATTAATTTAAAACTATCCCCTGCAGGATATGGGGATTTAGTTATGGGTGACGCGATTCCGGAGACATTGAGTGGTGAGGAATATGAGGTATACTCGTCGCCGAAGGGGAGGTGGGAGGGTCGCTGAAAACTTGCTTGCCGTCGTTCGCTAGCTAGTTAATTGCGAAAGGATGACAAAACTGCCCTTGCCTTGGTTTAAAAACCCACACAGGGCCCCAGGGGAATGAAATAATTTTGTTCCGTGAATAAACAACTCTTTTGAACCTTATAAATAGAGCGCGATGAGAAAATTGTGATCATCCAATCAGTGAGAATAGCATAAGTGATTTACAACCGAAGCGAGAGATCGTCGCCATATTCTTGCCTTTGTGGAATTTTTGCATTTTTAGCCAATTCCTCTAGCATTTCGAACATGGGATAATTTTCGCATTGTTTTTTTGAGCATGGTAGAACGCATCCTTTTGTCAATGTTTACTCAACAGCCTCTGGGTCGCATTTCTTTCCACCAATTGTCTTTGTAAAGATGTTTCAGTATTTCGAATTCACCTTTAGGAACTGAAATGCTAGAATGTCCAAATTTAGTTTGTGGAAGCGGAGGCTTGACAACCCATGAAGGGAAAGTGTGATGATAATTGTAATTAACGAAAAACAGCCAAGATTCAAGACCTCTTCGCTTTTTCCAGCCATTGTGTTCGTAAAAGGCAAATAGGTCAACAGTCAGCGTTTGGTTCGGACGTGAAAACACGATAGTTCCACTTTGAGTCCATTTATTTGTGACTATTAATCCAGCTTCCTTGAATGGCGTGAGGAAATTTTCAATCGTTCCAAATGAATCGAATCTTGAACAATCGCCACAGAAACCAATATCTACATCATTGTCCCAAGGRAGAGGACCTTCCATCCGCATTGCACCAAAGATTGATCCATACATCAACCAATGATCGATATTTAACTTTGTCAAAACTCGATGTACTTCAGAAGCCAGGTCAACTAGTTGCCTTAGTTCTTGATTTGAGTTCGAACACCTTTGAACGCGATTCCATGGCGGATCCATATAATTCGAAAAACTCATATAATTAAGATGAACATAGATATATGTAGCTATGCATAAACCTAACACGGCTATCACAGTCTTCTTTCGTATTCTCATTGCTCGCGAACGTCGACAACAGCAGATCAACGTGGCTTCGAACCTTTATATACAGTGACAAGCACGTGACCTTGTCTACTGGTATTTGCCTCCTACCATGTTCTACATCGCCGCAGTCGAATGAACGCTTCCGCAGTTTAAAATCCCTTTCTGAATCATATTATTAGTTCTTGGTTACAATTCGATACAAACCTGTGTTTAATGTTTATGTTTTTAAAACAGTCTCAAGAAAAACGACTTTTACCAGAACATTACGGGTCTAAAGTGATTAAGGCTATTAAAAATTAAAAAAGTCTTTAAAAGGTAATATATTCAATGATGTATTGTATTCTGTTTTATTGTTGTACCTTTTCTTGACCATATCTCGTCCTTTTATATTTTTGAAAATATCAAAGCTTTTATCGAAATCTTTTGCTAATTTAGACCGATCAGAAAATTCTTTATACATGACATATTTTAAGCAACGAAGGAAGRGGCGGACGACGATTATCGAATGAAGATTTCATGACCGAAACGGACTATGGTTATGCTGTTTCACTTGAGTAGCCTTGCATGGCTCGCTCTAAAATTCCAGTACAAGCAGGACTAGCCTCAGGAAGTTCCACTGCTGCGCTGCGTGCGTCGGGGTAGCCTGTGTACATCCGTGAAACGGATGTACACAGGCTAGTTTCTAAACTGGTTCAAACACACAGGCTCGGGTTCATCTCGCCCTAGTGTGTGAACCTTTAGATACCAAACAGGAAGCCAAGCACTAGGTGTTCGAAGTTGGCTTGTAGGGACTAAAAGACAAGGAACAAGGACATTTCCTTGCTTCTTATTAAATTGATCAATTAGAATATTTTTCAATTCCTAGCCTACTTCCAGTTCATGTTGTAGGCATGTATCATGACCGTCAATATTATCAAATTTTTGCATTCTCTTTAATAAACTCTTTTGATTTTCTGTGAATTTTACGAGGAATGTTGTATTTTGTACTGGCCAGCTGGCGTTTATGCAGATGCATTAATGCTCCAATCTCAATCAATTTTACACATAATAGCTTTAGGNTATTTTAAGCAACGAAGGAAGGGGCGGACGACGATTATCGAATGAAGATTTCATGACCGAAACGGACTATGGTTATGCTGTTTCACTTGAGTAGCCTTGCATGGCTCGCTCTAAAATTCCAGTACAAGCAGGACTAGCCTCAGGAAGTTCCACTGCTGCGCTGCGTGCGTCGGGGTAGCCTGTGTACATCCGTGAAACGGATGTACACAGGCTAGTTTCTAAACTGGTTCAAACACACAGGCTCGGGTTCATCTCGCCCTAGTGTGTGAACCTTTAGATACCAAACAGGAAGCCAAGCACTAGGTGTTCGAAGTTGGCTTGTAGGGACTAAAAGACAAGGAACAAGGACATTTCCTTGCTTCTTATTAAATTGATCAATTAGAATATTTTTCAATTCCTAGCCTACTTCCAGTTCATGTTGTAGGCATGTATCATGACCGTCAATATTATCAAATTTTTGCATTCTCTTTAATAAACTCTTTTGATTTTCTGTGAATTTTACGAGGAATGTTGTATTTTGTACTGGCCAGCTGGCGTTTATGCAGATGCATTAATGCTCCAATCTCAATCAATTTTACACATAATAGCTTTAGGCTAAATGGCGCGTGAAATTTATCATGTCTTTTTTGCACACAGAGTTTTTGTAATCACTGAATAAAAGAATTTATCACAAACTCGACGTCTAGGCTTCGCAAACAAACAATAATGGTATATTTCAGATGGACAACCATTTCAAGATAGGATTAATAGCATTGTGTGTGGGATTTGCATGCAAGATGGGCAACTTTAAAGATTTTTTAAAGGTTTTTGTTCAGTTGAAAAACTTAATTTTTGGCCATGAAAAACAATTATTGTATCACCAACGTCTCAAACGCTCTACAGAAAACAGGTGTCATGCTGTTCAATATGATGAACGGCCATCATTATTGAATTTACTTCTCTTTTTTTTCATTTGACTTCATTCACCTATTGAAAATCACCCTTAAATTGTCAACGGCATGATCACAGGACTTGTATTTTTTTCCAAAACGCATTCTCTCTTGTGATTGGACAATTAAGAACCGTGATAATCAATTCTTCGTTGATGCATTTTTTATTCTTTTAATCTTATCGTCATGATAAATGATCAGGCTTAGTATTCTGAACACATTTAGACTACTTGCTGCGGGAAAAAAAACGGAAGGAATATCATTTAGTGACGATCTGGCCTGTCTTCAATATAATACTTAAGACTTGGTTGACAGTTTAATTAGATAGCTTCGTTCACTATAATTGTAGGTTCTTCGCATTCGAGTCGTTTCATAAATCAGTCATGATCTACAAGGTGTGAACATGATTCTCCGTGCTTTTCTTTTCTTGTCGTCGTTGCATCTTTTCGGTTTTAAAATAGCGTTGTCTATCAGTCTAAATCMTGACAAAAGAAGTCATATAGTTATTGACTCGTAACTTCTATAAAAGTGCTGAAAGAAAGTTTTTCTCAAAACTAGGAAGTTTATTATCGACCCAAACTACCAATAGTAAAACGGAATGTTCCTTGAAATGCGTACAAAACAAGGACTGTATGTCGGTGAATATGATTACCGTGGATCAGTCGCTGTGACCTGCTTAACTGGACAGGAGGAGGTTTTGAAAAATACCTCGGTACCGAAAGCCCATTCGAAGTTTATGCATATTAAGGTTTAGTTAAAATAATCAACACTAAACTAATAAAGCAAAAACTGAAGTCCCTTCCACGCCTGAAAATCAAGAAAAAGGAAAAAAGAAAGTTAGTGATCGGTATTTTTTAGCAACAGAGAAGAATGATATTTCGGCACAAACATAACTTATTTGTTTTGCTGTTAACTTTCTTGCTTGTTTTTTGCTATTTGTTTACTTTTTCAAGAGGTGTAGGTAGAACTCCTAAATGAAAACGCAATTCAAACTTTTCGATTTCATCAATAATAAAAAAAGGTTTAAAAAACGGTTCCATTTCAGAAATATTTCACGACTGATTGTATACCAACTTTCGAGAGGTTAGATATCCGCACACTTTATTATATAGCGAGGTAAAACGATTTCATTGGCTAAAAAGCCAGCGGGCCATACAGTTCCCGTACGGACCAGATGAAACGAGAAAATCTTTTTTTATCATTAAAAAACCTCGCTTTCTCTCTTTCTAATTAAACTCTTTTAATTTATTTTTTTCTCCTAGTTTCTCAGCCTTTTCTTTTTTCTTTCTATTTTGAATGACGAGAAAAGTACGAATAAAAACGTATTTTTATGTTCGATTCTCTATTAATTTTACTATTTTCCCCTATTTTCCCCTGAAAATGGAAAATGCCCCTATTTTCCCCTGAAAATGCTAAATATGCTCGAGGGCCATAAAAAGTGGAAAAAACGAGGTTCCATAACTGACTTCCCGTACAGCTCTCACGCTCGGTTAGTAAGATATTAGCATGCTTATCGATTCAGAATATTGTATAGTTGATGGAATGGCCGAACGATCGGTCAAATTCAATTTCACGTCAAATATTTACCGCCAAGAAAAAACAATTAAGTCAAACACGCAATCACATTTCAGAATCCTTGCCAGGAGAAGCCTTGCCATAACGATGGCCAATGC